AGAACATATCATTAGTTTTTAATGATTTGAGTCTTCTTGGTATTTAAGAGAATCGAATTCCATATAGACAATGAGGTTGCCAGGTTTTACTTATTTCTTCCCACAAACTGTATTGCACACATAAAGGAAATCGAATACTAATATAATTATAACTTATAACAAAAAGTAAAAACCGAATTCAAATTCCTAAGAAAGAAGTTATTTATTTGCAAACCTTAGAGGTGAAATTATTCTCCAAATTTATTAGGGACTCATTCTTGAAGTACCTAATAAATTTGGAGAATTACCTATTTAAAAAAAACGTTAAAATCAGTTCACAATTTGCGAAGATATTGCGTATCATACAAACAACAAAAGAACATACACTCAGATTTAGAACCTCCTGCTTTTTGAAATCGTTTTAAAAACGGGCTATTCATAAATTTAGCAATATTATAATCAATATTAGCCCGGCTACCTTCAGATTCTGAATATTCATTTTTGATCCGATCTCAGCAGAACGAGCTTACAGTATCTTGAAGTCTTGCTGTGGTATGCTTGGGTTTAGATTTAATGTTGATAATTATAGGATCCGAAGCAGATGGCAGCACCCATCCACCTTCTCTGTTAAAATTAGGATGTTTTTTTTTTATTTCAATAGCTTCGCGTACAATCATTGGTAGTAATCGGTGTTCTTTTGCGAGGATTTGTGGTTGGCGCGTTTGTGTTTTTTTTTCTTCCTTTTTTTGATATTGATGATGGAAAAATTGACTAATCGTATTAAGCTTTGTGTGTTCAACGATTCAGAGCCAACCTTGTCTGTGATTCCTCTAACATATGGAAGTACAGCAGGCACACGCTCGACTGTGGCCGACTTCACTAGGTCACTGTAACGTAGGTGCGGGACCCGAAGCTTGTTGTTGTCGTTGTCAATACTTGTGTGTCTTGCTGAAGCTCGGCGGCCAGATGTTTTCTGTCACAGATCCCTTGTGCTCTCTGAGACAAAGATTTACCCATGGTAGATTACTGTGAAGGATGATGTTGAGATTCACCATTTAAATTTCTGTTGGTATGGGTCTTTTTCCCACACAGTGTGACCAATATTGTTATCAGGATTTCGGATGTCTAAAACATCTAGGAGCGCTAAAGAATTATTTGTCTCTACCTCCATTGTGAATTGTATTTTGGAGTTTATGGAGTTAAGGCGGTCTAAAAATGCTGATACATTGTCAATAGTAAAAAAAATTAAAGTGTCGTCTACGTACCGCTTGTAGAATCTTGGATTTACAGGAGCAGTAAGAAGGGCTTTCTTCTCAAAGTTCTCCATGAATATATCGGCGACTACGGAAGATACAAGTGAGCCCATCGTCATACCGTCTACTCGCTTTTAGAACTCCTCCTTCCACAATAGATAAAAAACTTCCATAATATAAAAAAAGTTAAAAAAAAATTAATTAAACGCGATAAAATCCGCATAAATAGTTTTATTAAATGTGTAGTGTTCATTATGTGAACCAGTACGGAGTGGTATTGGCAAATAAAATTCGCCGATTAAAATATCTTAAGACCAAGCGCGTAATACGAGCCATCGCAACTGCGGCTTTGTGAGCCGGTGCGTTATCAAACAAATCAATACATTTAGTCCATCTTTTTCTACAGGATCCCTTGAAAAAATTCTTTTTTCCGGGTGAGAAGAGGTAGAAGTGGAGGAGGGGGGGGGTTTTTATGCAGTCGGTGTTTGTGAGCCGGTGCGTGTCTTGGTGAAACAGCACTCCAGCTCGCAGTTTGCCGCGTCTTTTTTCCTTAATGGCCTCGCGCAATCTTCTTATTTGGTCTGCGTAGTAAGAGCCCGTAATAGTGGCTCCCTTTTCCAAATATTCCACCATAATTATGCCTTGAGCGTCCCAAAAAACAGATGCCATAACCTTTCCCGCCGAACTTGAAACTTTGAATTTCTTTGGGGTCGGTGAGGAGGCTCGCTTCCAAGTCATCGATTGTTGTTCCGTTTCAGGATCAAAATGGTGGATCCAGGTCTCGTACATAGTCACAAAACGGAACAAAAACTTTCTTGATCTGCTTGGAACTTTTCGAGATTGACCCTCGAAATGTCAACTCGATTTTTCTTATGCTCGTCGGTTAACATTCTGGGTACCCAACGCGCAGAGACCTTTTTCATATGCAACTTGTTCGCAAGGATTCTTTGAACGCTGCCATATGAGATCTCTGTGATCTCAGCTACATGCCTGATGGTCACTCTTCGATCTGCCAACACAACACAATTTTTTCACGTTGTCTTCAGTGATGGGCGTCCTTCGCGATGTTCATCTTCAGTGGATGTTCTGCCCAGTTTAAACTCCTTGGCCCAGCGTGCAACTGTAGAATATGGTGGAGCAGAGTCCCCCAATGTTTCCACTAAGTCACTGTGTATTTCTTTTGAGGACATTTTTTCAAACAGAGGTACTTGTTGACAGCTCTAATTTCGTTTTTCTCCATGTTGATGTTATTTCTTAGACAGTTCGTATTCAAATGAATGTATCTCCCGGAAATCGTGATCTATTTATATGATTTTTTTAGGCTGACGTAGTCAGTATATAAGCAAGCAAAAAATATTTTTTTTTTGATTTTTATGCGGACCTGAAGTAGCCGATTATCATTACTTTTGGATCACCGCTCGTATATTATATAACATGTTTAAATTTCTTGAAGAGATGCAGAGACCATAATCTCATTCCTACGTGTGTCAAAATATCAACAAAAAAGGACATTCGAGGAAGCGCTAAGATCTTAAATCAGGCAAGTAAAAGTTGTTACGAAGTTACGAACGGTGATTCAGAAACGGTTCGATCTACTTTTCATATTTTTACCATCCATCATGTGAATATTCCTCTATTATACACTATGCAGGAGTGTACAAGCTAGATCAGCCATACTCAACCTTTTTTATAGGGGCCACAAACACGTTTCAGTTATGGTGTCGAGGGCTGCAAGTAAAAATTATTTAGGTCTTAATTTATTAATGAAAAAAGAACTTAACAAAGATGTTTATATGTCTTAATACGATTTTTGATATTGTGAACACTTTTTTAAAACCTTTTCAAAATCTGCCTTGTCGCTACATGCTATCCTTATTACTTCGTCCAGATTAGTATCCGTAAGTTTGTTTCTGTACACGTTCTTTGAGTATTTCATTTTTAAAAATACGATTCGCACATATAAGTAGACCCAAAGAATGTTAGTAGTATTTGGGCATATCTTTGGTCGCTTTTACATTTTTGGGGAACAATACTCCAAAATTCCACATACTCACTGTTTGCCCTTTTTTATTAAAACAGAACTTCTAGTTTGGTGTCGTTTTTAAAATCGTTGAATTCATCAAACAACTCTGAGTAATTACAATTTAAAACTGAAGCCAACTCTGAGATAGTCGTTGTTTCTAAATGCCACAGATTTTCTTTATGTAACTTTTTTTTCTTAGATCTTGGGACTTTTATCGAAATTCGTTTAAAAGTGCAATTATTTATTTTGAAATTATGGAGCAGTTTTCTTCCGAAATTTTGGTACTGTCCTCTGTAGTTTTTATCATAGTTTGAAAATTTTGCAGCTGTTGATCTGTATTTCCTCATGACGAATGCTTAGCTTTTCCTTAACTGCAAAAACTTTATTTGCCATATTGGAGATCATATTATTTTCACCCTGTAAACTCCGATTGAGTTATTTGTTTTTTTTTTTCGTAATATCATATAAAAATACAGCACCATTCATCATTTTGTAATTCAAGATACACTTCATTATTTTGCTCTAAAAACAGTATTATTTCATGGCGTAAAGAAAAACTTTTCCTCTACTAAGCCATCTCACCGAAGTATGTAAAAGGACGTCGTTATACTGACTTTTCGGTTCTTCCAGAAGGCTTTTAAATCTTCCGTGGTTCGATTCTTTTGCTCGTATATAATTGATAATATTGATAACTGTCTTCATTACAGCTTCTATTTCTGGATTTACAACACGCGCCAAGTTTTCTTGGTGGATAATATCTACAATGAAATGTTGTTAAATTAGTTAAATTATATTTTTCTTTAAACAACGAAATAAATCCATTTTCGGATCCACTCATTGAAGGACAACCAACTGTACACAGACACACTATTTTTGTATGTCAATTTCATTCTGCTCTAAAAAAATTGCAAATAGTACCAAGGTAATCTGTGACCTTTTTTATAGAAGAGGCGGCAAACGAGCATGCGGCTCACCTGATGTTGAGTGACTACCGCCGCCCATGATCAACCGCAACACCAGGGGAATTGCAGGTGCGTTGCCGGCCCTTTAGAAAGGAGTAAGCTCTTTTCTTAAAGGTCCCCAGGTCGTATTGGTCCGGAAAAATCGCCGGTCGTAAACTATTCCACAGAGAGGTCGTACGCGGAAGAAAACTCCTTGTGAAACGTACAGTGGTGGATAACCAAGCATCCAGATGGTGTGGATGGTATCGGGACGTTTGCCGCGTAGTGCGTTTACGAAATTTGGCGACTGGGATTAATCCGAACAATTCTTCAGAGCACTCACCATGGTATATACGAAAGAAAATGCAAAGAGAAATGCAATATCTCTTCGCAGCGCCAGTGAATCGAGCCGATCGGAAAGCACTCGGTCGTCGACGATTCGAGCCGCTCTGCGCTGGATGCGGTCAAGTGGAAGGAGCTGGTACTGGGGAGCTCAAGCCCAGAGATGAGAACAGTATTCCATGTGCGGCCAAACCTGCGCCTTGCAAAGTTGCGGGCAGTGTGCCGGCATGAAATACTGTCCCGCTCTGCGGAGCACACCAAGCTTTTTAGAGGCCAATTTGGCCTTCTCGTCTGGCCTAGGAGTAAGCTACGCGTGATTGCTGTTACACTTGTCAAGTATAAGGTTTACAGCAATTTAGTTTATATTTGGGGAAGACCAGTATTTGGTTGTGTTAAGCTCAGGGCAAAATTGTTAATAGTAATATAAAACACTTTTCAAAACTTAAAACTATTTTTAGGTTTATGTGGTTCAGTTTTACTGCGATCGGAGCAATTGCCTCTTGCATTATAATTGTAAGTCTGTGGGAAAAGTTCCAAACAAACCCTACCATAACAGGTGAGAAAAAATTTAATTATCAGTGTTTTGTTAATTTTGATAACAACTTTAACTTTTTCGTATTTTTGTAGGCTTAGATACCGATTTCCATAACTGGGATGTGCCTTTCCCTGCGGTAACGATTTGTGACGTCAACCCTGTCGATGAAGAATTATTGCAGGAATATATTGAGCAGTTATTAATTTTTTTTATTGTATTTTTATAGTAGTAACCTAGTAAGAGTAACAAACGAGCACACAGTCCATTAAGTCAATAAATTCACAGAATTGGAAGCTATCTTGCAAAATTCCTTTAGAATAAAGACATTATTGAATAAAATTGATTTTTAAGGTCTGTGTATATGTGTGTAGTGTAGTGGCGGTTAAGAATATCCACTACCCCATATCTTCCCGTGGGTGTCGTAAAAGGTGACAGAGGAAAACAGGCAGGAGATGGGCAGCAGCATCTTCCTGATAACAGCAACTGTACAACAAAAAACTGCGGTTGCCAACCCGCTCGCCAAGCGTGGCAACTATGGCAATATACCCCCCCCCCATGAAGAATTACACAAATAGACGGCCCCCAGTCCCCGGCGGCCCCGCTATTCCTGGCAACGGTGGCGACCATGGTAATGCCGAAGCAGGGGGTGCTAAGAATCTCCGGTGGAGGTTCGGTTGCCACCTAAAACGACTTGGCGTGGGAACATACAACGCCCGCAACCTGGGGACTGACGAGAAGATCCTGGAGCTGGAAGAACAGATAGACAAGTTGCGCTGGAATATTATAGGATTATCCGATGTCTGAAGAGAGGGGGAGGACACGAATCCGGCAACTTGTTTTATCACCGGAAAGGTCACCATCTGTCCCAAGGAGCTGTTGGATTTATCGTCCACAAGTCTCTCATTAACAACGTTCTAGAGATTGGGAGTCTCTCAACGAGGGTAACTTTATACTCAGAATCGACAACGCTCTCTTGAAGAACTACAGACCGATTTCATTTCTGAGTCGAGTCTACGTGCTGTTTTTGAGAGTCATTACAAATCGTATCGCATGCAGACTCTACGACCTCCCGAACAAGCCAATTTCCGAAAAGGCTTCAGTACCATAGACCATATACATACCCTTCGGCAGATTGTACACAAGACCACACAAGAGTACAATCTGCCACTTTGCCTGGCGTATGTGAACTATGAGAAAGCCTTTGATTCTGCCGAAATTTGGGCAGTGCTACAGTCTCTTCAGGGGTGCCAAGTTGACTGTCGGTATATCGAAGTGCTTAAGTGTTTGTACAGTAGGGCTATGATGGCTATCCGAGTACAGCACCAGAGTACGAAAACTATTCAATGTTTATTTCACACCTATGCTGGTAGTTGTTGGGAACACTAACCTAGAAATTGTTGACTAGTACGTTTACCTGGGACAAATAGTCCAACTAGGTAAGTCCTACTTCGACCGGGGTTAATCGAAGGATTTAACTCGGCTGGGCAGCGTTCGGGAAATTACGGCACATCTTCTCGTCAGGTATACCTCAAAACCTGAAAACTAGATTGTACAACGAGTGCGTATTGCCAGTGAGGACTTACGGATCTAAGATGTGGTCCTTAACTACTGGCCGTATGAGGACGCTCAAGGTCGCTCAGCGAGCTACGGAAAGAGCTATGCTCGGGGTTTCTCTGCGTGATAAACGTAGAAATGAGAACATCCGCTGTAAAAACCAGAGTGATCGACATAGCCCAACGGATTAGTAAGCTGAAGTGGCAATGAGCCTTCTATATAGCTCGCATTGGTAGGCTTAGTGTAGGGCGACCCCCCAATAGATAGAGTGACGACCAGGAAGTCGATGGATGCAGGTGCCTCAGGACCGTGCTTTGTGGCATTCCTTGGGGAGGCCTATGTTCCGCAGTGGACTTGTGAAGGGCTGTAATGATGATGATGATGGTGTGTTTATGTGATGTCTAAAAGCTAAAGTACGGATACACCTAGGTTTAGCTGGCTAGAACAAATGCATCCGATTGCGTTGAGTTAATCTTAGATGTATCATAAAATAATTTATAAATCTGACAAATATGCGCGGGTTCACTTGACCTTTACTTAATCGCCTGTCGCTGATATAACTTGATACATGCTATACAATTTTTGATAAATTTAACAGCACACCTAAGTGTAAACAACGTCAAGTAGTAATAGTTCTGGGCAGCTAGCCTATTCAACAGTACACCTGGATACGAGTAAATGTACGAGTAACCAAAAACAATTGACAGTACCTAGTCATCGGCGGTTAAACCTAGGAACATCGGCACTTTAGATTTTAGCAGTAAGAGTTTGACGTATGTAATTGCAGTTACGTTTTTATTCACTATTATTTATTTATTTTCGTTAACTTTGCATTTCAATAATTTCTTGTGTATTTTCATTGGGTCAACAGAACATGGCCTTCAGAAGTACCGGCAAATGCAAGCGACATGTTGCAATGGCTAGTAACGTTGAGTTATCGTTCTATTGCCGAAAGCGCCTCCAAGTATGCAACGCAGCCTGATCTAGTGGGACGAACTATTAATGATGCTCCCGCGCCGGCTATGGACCCAAAGGAAGCTGTTTTCAGTGTAGGTTACTAAGATTATATTAATGTTTTTATATTTACTCCTAGTGTTGTAGCTGCGTATCAGAATTAATCGAGCAATATTAATAGGTAATGCACGTGCTTCATTGCTTCCAAACGATTGTGGTAAAAATGGCAATAACCATTGTTTATCATTTGTTTATTATGCTAGATACGTGGTAGAGCCAAGCTTCAACTATATTATGGTTGTAGCTCGAATGGGTCAGCTCGATCGGAGATGGACCACACTCTCACAGAATACCAGCTTAAAATATTAACTTAATGCTGCTGGGTTTCATATGGTGAGTGTAGAGAACCGAAGACCCTTTTTAATGGAAACGAGGCATCCATCTTATTTCTCAGGGATAACAATGCGTCTACATTTTGATTCTTAATCGACGATAAATGTAGATGTTTGTGGGCCATAGCATCCACTTACCAACTTACCATCAGGTGTACTGTGTGCTTGTTTGTCACCCTTATTCTATAAAAAAAGTTGCAATAGCGTGAAACGTGTGATATATTTGGTATTGCAGTCTCAAATTATTTGTTGGTAAATATTCCGAACAATAGGAAACGATTTTGCATGGCCAACTACTAAATAAACTGTTTGAAATACATAGCAGGATTAAAGTTTATTTATAAAACGTTAATATATAAAATACTATTTGTATTATATTTGTGCAGATTCTTAGTAAATAATAAGGGTGAGTAAGAATAAGAATTAGGGTGTGGCGGCGATGTCGTCGCGCCGCAAGCGAATCACACCGAAACCTACATCACGCTATCAAAATTCCGAACCATAAACAGTATATATAGAACATCTCCGAACTATCACACGTAGTATTGGCCGCTCCCCGGGCAGAACACCTTGCCCGGGAGGAGATTTCCCCTTTTCCTTCTACCTCTAAACTGGTGACCCCGACGTGATCTGAACATGCAACCAACAACCTTCGGAAACTTCAAGCTAGGGATGATCGATGTTACAGAAACATCGATGATGACATCGATGTTGATATCGATAGCTTAACATCAATGTTCGATGTTTATCCTACTCTAAACATCGATGTTGGCCGTTATCGATGTTATAGCACATGTACCTATTTAGTAGGTTAAAATTAGATGTAAAAAAATTTGTAGTATTGTTTATGGTTTATTATTTATGAAACTAAGTAAATTAATAACACATTCAGTGTGAAACAGTAATTTAAAAATGGGAAAAACTTAACAAATATTTAGTTAATTTGTTATATTTTTTGCCGATAATGATGCATATTATTATTTTGATATTTAAATGTTCCTATACAATTATAGTGATGATCCGTGAGGACTTACGGATCAGAGACGTGGTCCTTCACTGCTGGCCGTATGAGGACGCTAAAGTCGCTCAGTGAGCTATGGAGAGGGCTATGCTCGGGGTTTCTCTGCGTGATAGACTCAGAAATGAGGATATCCGCAGTAAAACTAGAGTGACCGACATAGCCCAACGGATTAGTAAGCTGAAGTGGCAATGGGCTGGCCATATAGCTCGAAGAACCAATAACCGATGGGGAAGAATGGTTCTCGAGTGGCAGCCTTGTACCGGTAGGCGTAGTGTAGGGCGACCCCCCACTAGATGGAGTGACGACCTGGTAAGACATGCAGGAAGTCGATGGATGGAGGTGGCTCAGGACCGTGCTTTGTGGCATTGCTTGGGATAGGCCTATGTTCAGCAGTGGACTTGTGAAGGGCTGTAATGATGATAGTAGTTAGGTTGTACCAGTTCTGGCGCACTTGTAGAAAGGTTGTACCAGTTACGGCGCACGACGTTCGTCGACTCACAATCCTAAAAAAAAAAAAAAGGTTTTGGCATGCTCTGATCACGAATCTGCGGTCCATTTTTGCGTAGGATGCACGGTTCCGGAGATGTGCAGATCAATTAACTCTTATCTAATTGATATCCGCTGCGAGCCTCAACCGTCATTAGCGCTCCATTGTCCTTATCTACTTATCTATTGTTGATTGACTACCGTCATTATCTATTATTCGTCAGCGTGTGGGTCGGCTTATGCTATTGTATTATACTCCTTTGTTCCTATCTACAACACTAATCTGAATCATCAATAAAACACATTACCTAATTTTGTTAAAATTTTTATTTATAAAATACAAAATCTTATTACTTATTATCTATAAAATAGGAGCGAAACATCTCATCCACTAACATATCGTTGTACAATGTGTTCTCTGTAAATATACTCGTAAAACTATGCATTGAACATCCCTGAAACTTATATAGCAAATACATTAAGCAATATTCGCCACAAACTGAAGTCCTTATCAACATTCCAGTTCCATCTTTTACAATTTCGTACAGGTGCCCGTCCATATGAATCAAAATATTCACCGACGTCATTCGAATCGATATATAAAGCTACCCAATGTGACCCTGGTTTATCATCTGTACCCAAATTGCATATTACCTAGTCAGGTCATAAATTCTATCACATGTTTAATGTAAAATAATTGAAACAAGTTTATTCATTATGTAACCATTTATATACCAAAATGAACTTAACAAAACATTAATTCTTATGACACTATAGTTTATTCAAAATGACCTCCGTAATTTTGAATACAGGCCTTCAATCTGCGCGGCCAGTCGTCTATCTCACCACGAACGAGGTCCATGTCATATCGGCGGCTGCCTTAATTAAAGATGTCTTGAGTGACTCGAAATTGGGATGAGGCTTTGAGCACGCCTTTTCCTCCAAGTGTTACCATATCTTGTAATCTAACGGATTCAAATCTGGACTGGTCTTTGTGTCGGATGAAGTCGATTTCACGCGCCGCCAGCCAGTCTTTTTTTTTTTTGTTTTTAAAGAACGTTACCTCCACACTAGGTTTTTCTCCTGTATCGTGGGGGGGGGGGCAGTTTACAAACACAAATTTCACAAGGACAAACATCCAAACTCGGAACAATTACTTGTAGGTCGTACAAATACTTGTTCCGTGCGGGATTCGAACCCGCGACCCCCAAGCGCAGCCACTCATTGCTAAGCCACTACGCCACGGAGCTGTCAAAAGTCTTGTGTGCTCTTCGCTCTATGAGCTGACGCCGAATCTTGTTGGAATACCCAGTGCCTGTTATTGAACATGGTATGAGAAACAGGTTACACAAGGTTCGTCAGGACTGTATTTTGATACACAACTGCATTCGTTTTTAACCTTTCTCACAAAAATGTACCTCTGTTAAGCCCCAATAAGAAACTCCCAACCATACCATGAGCGAGGATGGAAAATGACCTCGTTGGACACGCGGAATACGGTTGCTCGCTTCTTCACTACTGTGTGCGTACACCTTATCATTTTGTTTGTTGTAGCTCTCTTCTACGGTAAAAATTTTTTTATCCGAAAAAAGAATTTCCCGATATTTTTTTCCCGCGTACCGCTTCACCAAAGCGCGGCATCTCTTCAGTCTCAGATCCATTAGACGAGCATTCAAACGATGTCCTGTTTTTCTTCGATATGCCCGAAGCCCTAAGTCTTCATTTAACGCCGTGGTTCTGCTTAACCCCATCTGAAGGGCCAACAGTTTCTGCTTACGTTTGGGATTTCTTTGAATTCGCACCTTTACGGCTTTTATTACTGCTGGAGTCCTAACAAATCGAGGGCGACCACTTCTTGACCTGTCATCTACACTAGAGTCTTCATTGTATCGTTTGATGGTACGATATAACGAATCTTTTGGTTATATTCAAATTTTTCAGTATATCAAAAAATTTAATTGGCGCGTAATCGCAACTGCAACACGGTCTTTTTTTAAGCGTCCACTCCATATGTAAAAATGAGTAAAATTCTCAAAAGTATACAGTTTTATTTTCATGAACAATTCGAATTCAATAAACTTTTTTTGTGGCCAGCATTCTAAAAGAAAAGTTTTTACTGTGTGACAATACTTATGACCTGACTAGGTATATACGTTGGTACGTGGGTGTACATGGGCAGTCTGTTAGCAGCATAAACATTATTTTCTAGACTGGGGTGAATCTTTTTCAGATGTTGTTGTACATCTAGTGTATCCATGATATTACTGCTATTAGTAGATTACTACAGTACAATCTACTCAATGACTAACATAGGAATGATCAATTATGTGATTTCTAAATATTAAATTGCATTTTTTCTGTTATACAAAACGTATTTGAGTCATCAATACACTGAATAAGACGCAACACGAAGAATGTGAGATAAGGTTGTTGACGCATAAAGTTATTATCAATTCTACTGTAGAAATTCTTTAGATTAGAATTATTACTTACTGGTACTATATAAGACCAAGCAACTGCAGTCATGGAGTTAGTGTATGGTCGTTTGACCGCAGTGTATCTATCAATAATACATTTGCGTTACTTCAACGCATCAAAGGCCATAGATGTAAGTGTTTAATCTATTGACAAACTTACTTTTCTTTCTGTTATTTTTTACGTGTGTATGATTTTGAACGACAGGCCTGTTGGTCTAGTGGTTAGTGACCCTGACTGTTATGCCGGAGGTCGTGGGTTCGATTCCCACCCAGGACAAATGTTTGTGTGATGAGCACGATCATTTGTTCTGTGTCTGGGTGTAATTTATCTATAATATTTATGTATTTAGAAATATATAAGTATGTTTATCAGTTGTCTAGTACCCATAACACAAGCTCTGCTTAGCTTGGGACTAGATGGCGTTGTGTGATAGTTGTGGAATATTATTATTATTATTATTATTTAGTGTTAACAAATTATATTTAAATATTTTGTGTGTGTATATGATTAAGCCGTGGTAGCTCAGATGGTTAGCGCAAGCTGTAAATTTTACAGTACGTAACGCGGGTTCGATCCCCGCCGACACCAATTAAATTGTTAATTGCAATTTTAAGTGTTTATTCTATTGACACACTTACTTTTCTTTCTGTTATTTTCTTACGTGTGTATGATTTAGTGTTAACAAATTATATTTAAATATTGTGTGTGTGGATATGATTAAGCCGTGGTA